GGGAGGGAGGGAAGAATATTACTAGTACAGTTACCCAGTGTCTTTCAAAGTCTTACAGGGGGTTGACAGCGGGCCACATGCCAATCATGGCCTGCAGAGAACTATGGGTACTGCAGCACATGCACAGCAAATACAGTGGATAAAGCAACCTATGGGGTACTGACATTTTTACCCTACCAGCTTACATGGGCATTGCTTGACACTTAGTTTCCAGTGCCCCAAATGGGACACATCCTCACTAAATACTGGAAAATGAATGTATCATGGTATGTACACAGGCAAGCCTTGGACTGTCTTGGGAGCGGTTCAAAGTAGGATGAGAGCATATGCTTATTCAAGAAGAGGCAGCTGTCAAAACCATAAGGGAAAGAAACTTCCAACTAAAAGGCAGGTGTTAGCTAATTAATTCTGTTATATTCTCTAGTGCATTAAGGGTTTTTTCTTTTGTTGTTTTGTGTTTTAGACAGAGTATATGTAGCCTTGGCTGTCCTGAAACTCTGTGTAGACCAGACTGGCCTCATAACAGAGATCTGCTTCCTGGGTGCTAGGATTAAATGTGTGCACCACTACACCTAGCTTGCATGAAGTGCTTTTAAATATACTACTTATTAAATTTACCAATGACTGCTGAGAATGAATGAACAGCACTTTTTAAGCTAGCTTAGCACTTTGGCAACCTCCAATCAACAGAGTAAGAACAATTCAATGTACTTAAATGTGGCCCCCTTTACCCCCACATGCTGTTCATGATTAAGTCCCTCATAGGCAGTCACTGCTCTCTAGAGCTGGTTCTGGAGTGAGAAATATAGGACCCAGCTGAGTACAACCTGAAACTGGAGGTGTGTGCAAATGATCCAACTTGAGAAAGTAAACACTAAACTACTATCCTTCTTGTGGTTTACAGCACACTACCATGGCCACAGCTACTAAAATGGGCTTTAAAAAGAAGTGGGGCACGTTGAAGAGACTCAGAGAAATTCCTTACAAGGCAGTGGCAAGAAAAGAACACACATGGTGAGGTCTTCAGCTTCTCTGTATAATTATGTCACCATGCTCTGAAGCTGGTGAACACAGGGAATGATTTACAAAGAACAAGGAAAGCTAAAATAGGAGTGTGATTGGAAGCCCCTTTCCTTATACTCAGTCAGAGATAGTCTGATTAACTGGTCATTCCTCAAAGATTACAGCTGTTATTACCAAGTAAGATGGTACCTTCCCTATTTACATAAGAGACTTCATCTAAAGAGGAAAGCCAGGATCAGCAAGGATCAAATTTTGAATTTGATTTTTGCTTGTTTGTTTGGGTATGGAGGAATTTAAGGTATGGTGGGGGCAGGAGTGAGGTCTCAGGACCTCATGTTGCCCAGACTGGTCTCAAACTTAATATATAGCCAAGGATGACCTTGAACTTCTGATCCTCCTGCCTCCACCTCCCAGGTGCTTAGGTTACAGGCATATGTACCATTCTTGATTTTCAATCTTTAGGGAGGGCCACTGTATACAGAGTATTTGTTTTTGAGACTGTAGCCCAGGCTAACCTGGAACTCACTATAGGCAGGTGAAGATGACATTAAACACCTCATCTTCCGAACTCTACCTCCCATGCTGGAGATAGAACACAGGGCTTCATGTATATAGAGCAGGCACTTGACCAACAGACCTACATCCCCAGCCCCAGTAAACTACTCTTTAGAACACGAGTGATGTATTAATATTGTAAATTCTGCTACAAGCTAAGTCTGCTATTATGTATCCCAGGATATCTATGAATTTGCCAACATATTTGCAGATGATCAAGCCATATTGTCAACTGGCTGGAGAGGTAGCTCAGTGGTTAAGACAGAGCACTGTTCTTACAAAATAGCAGAGTTCAATTCCCAAGACCCATGTTAGGTAGCTCAACTACCTGTAACTCTAGCTTCAGGGATTCTGATGCCCTCTTCTGGCCTGAACAGGTTATCTGCACTCCTGTATGTATAGCCCTACAAAGACACAGACACATAGATATACACACAAATTTAAATTGTCTTTAGTGTTGAAAATGCCATGAGTCTAACCCACCATACACTACAGAGCAGTATTACTCATAAAGACTAAACAAATACTTGTTTTCTTGAGTCAAAGAAAACAGTATTTAAGTAAAAAAAACCATATTATCTCCATCCATTTGCTACCCATACATGTCTTCTTTTTTTTTTTTTTTTTTTTTTTTTGCTTTTTCGAAACAGGGTTTCTCTGTGTAGCTTTGCGCCTTTCCTGGAACTCGCTTTGGAGACCAGGCTGGCCTCGAACTCACAGAGATCCACCTGCCTCTGCCTCCCGAGTGCTGGGATTAAAGGCGTGCGCCACCACCGCCCGGCCATACATGTCTTCTAAGATGAAGAAGCCAGAATGAAAAGTACTTAAAGTTAACTTCAATTACCTGTCACCCTTGTTCTTCTCATGTGTATACATCTACCATCAATGCCAGGAGCAATGGTACACACCTTTAATCTCAGCACCCAGGAGTCAAAGGCAGGTAGATCTCTATGAGTTCAATACAACCTGGACTACATAGCAAGTTCCAGGCCAGCTGGGACCACATAGCAAGACCCTGTCCAAAAATATAAAACCAGGGGGAAAAAATGGTTTTTTTTCCTCAATCACATGGTCTGCTTTTGTGTACTCACTCTTAAAATCATGTACTTGCTGGGCCGTGGTGGTGCACGCCTTTAAACCCAGCACTTGGAGGCAGAGGCAGGCGGATCGCTGTGAGTTCGAGGCCAGCCTGGGCTACGGAGTGAGTTCCAGGAAAAGTGCAAAGTTACACAGAGAAACTGTGTCTGTGGTGGTGGTGGTGGTGGTGGGGATTTACTTATCCAATAACTATCCTCAGCCAAATCTTGGGCTAAGTACCATTCTAAGACAGGTACAGAGCCACAATGGAGGACCCATAGCTACTGTACTAAGATATTGGGACAGACATCTCTGCTCTCCAAAATATCATTGCAAAATCCAGTTACCCCTCCCTAGACTGGTCAAAAAGCAAGGTGCACTGGTTAAAACATGCAAAGCAGGAGTCAGCAAGATAGCAGCTAATGGCTCAACTGGTTAAGATACTTGCTGCCAAGCCTGACAACCTGAGGTTAATCATGGGATTTACCTATGAAGGAGAGAGTTCATGTGCCATGCCATGCTCATACATATACTTACCAAAAAAAAAAAAAAAAAAAAAAAAAAAAAAAAAAAAAAAAAAAAAAAAAAAAGGAATTAAAAACAAAACCAAAAAAACCCAAAAACTAGTAAAGCTTCACTGTGCCTCTTTCAAACTCCTTCCCACCCCACCCTGCTTATTTTTAACACAATGCAGTCATGCCAAACTTGAACTGGACCAAGTTTAAGCTATCCAAACAAATAGATATAATGCAACTAAGGTAAATATATCATTCTTACCAACCGAAGAAAATGAATCATATTGACAAAACAAAATTTTCTAATATGAGAGGAAAAACTATCTAGGAACTCAAACTTGACTGCATTTTAGAAATACCTGGAACACTATCTGTAGATTTCACTATGCAAGTTGTACTTTGTTAAGTAATCAAATCTGAAAGCCACCAATGCAGACAGGCTGGGACAAATGGTCTACTTTCCCACTGCTCTATAGGAGTATGTTAGTGCTTCCTTCCAACAACATGAGATGAGATCTTCACAAAATTTCTGCACTAACAACTGTTCTGACCTACTCAGCATACAAGGTGAGGAGTTTCTGAGCTAGCTAACAATTTAGGAGGGAAGGAATAAACCTGAACGTATGGAGGAAAACAACACCAGCTTATTGCCAGAAAACAAAACTAAAGCTTTAAAATTTTATCCCAAAATCTGCTCGATGTTGATGTCATGTAACAATCACATCCTCGGTTCTAAATACCTGAAAAGTAAGAGGCGAGGGAAAACAACGACCTTCAGGCTGGCTTGTGAAGGGTTTTGTTTGTTTAATACATCTGAAAAGAATTCATATACAAAGAACTGAGACACAAGAAAGCATTGGTTCAGCACTGACGAATCCACAAGATTAGGACTGGGGAAGGAGATTACCTAAACATTTTTTAAAATTGGAACCTGAAAACAAAATAATCTGATAAAATCTCTATTAACACTTATGAAGAGTCATGAGACTCTTACCATTTTTCTTGAGTGAGAGAACTTCAGCCAGTTGTTCAAGGGTTCCTCACAGGCATGGAAGAAAAAAAGGGGATAGCCCTGACTGGTCCCCATGTTGATTAAGTATGCTGTGCTCCCCACCCCACATGCTCATGGCTTCTTAATGAAGCAGGCCTGTAACCTCATCACCTGAAAGGAGATGGCGATCATCAGGAACCACTTGTCTTCTAGCACCATCCCTTCAGGAACTCTATGTACCAGGTCTTCAGCTGAACCTGGGAACACTACAGTGAGCTGTAAATCTATGCTAAGCATATAAGAAAATGACTGACAGGGGCAAAAGAACTTCTTTTTTTAATTAGGAACTCAATCCATTTGGTGTGTTTCAAAAGGTGCAATACTTTTTTTTCATTTATCAATGAAAGAAGTTAGAAATTATCCCCCCTCCCCAAATCAGCAAATGGCAAACAAACCCCCTTGAAAGTCACAGTCACATATAGAGTGCATCCTAGAAAGAGAGGCCAGACAGCTTCCATCCACCTTCATGAGTTTCATCAAAGACTGGATCCACTCAAGGGTGGAGAGAAAAGGCAACTTTCAAGAAGGAGTATGTTATTAAACGAGGCATTCTACACTCCTTCCTAAGAGCACCAGGTGGGGACACATTTGCTAAACTACACCTGGGGAGTGGAATGTGGAAATAATCTGTCCTTCTCCCTAAGGGCTGTCCACTGGTTAACAAATTTTAAAAAACAAGACTAAGAAACACACACCCCAAAAGGAGAGAAGAGCTGGGGTGCGGGAGACCTAAGATGCCCCAGATTACTCTCCAAAATGGAACCAGGGAGCAGCTTTGACAATTTGAATTAGTCTGTTACAAAGTCATCACAAGCATGCCTTGCTTTTAAACAAAAAAAAAAAACAAAACAAAACATTGGTGGGGATTTTGTTGTTGTTTTTTTTTTTAAACAAGGAAACAAAAACTAGCACTCATCACTTTTCAGACAATACACAATTATTCAAAATTAACTATTACTGGGAGGGGGGCATACCAATGGGCCTTGTCTCACATGAGTGCATGTGGGTAGGTGAAGGGCGTTTGTCATTATTGCAGAAACGAATTTTAATTTTTAATCTTTAGTTTGATTTAAACATTGCTTTTAGTATGAGGACACCACCGGCTGTGCAGAAAGGGCTCTGGAGAGGCGTTCATAGCAGCACACACCTGCGGCTCTTCTTCGGTTCTGGAGGCTCCAGGGCAGCCAATATTGCTTCATCAAACACATTCTTTAGGCCTTTCTGAAAAGGGGTAGAAAGAAGAAATGGGCAATCTGATTTTCAGTTTAACAACAGAGCTGGAGTTCATGTTTAAAACAGACAAACCCCAAAGACAGTGGGCAAACAAAGAAATATTAATAACCCTGAAACTTGACCTAACAATCTTGCTTCACCCAGTTGTCTCGTCAGGGCACAGGAGAGATTCAGCAATGCTGGCACAGATGAGCAGATACTCGTGAGTGGTCCTCTGAGTTTTTTGCAAACCAGTATGTATCACAAGAAGCAAACAAGCACATGTCATTTGACCATTCGATGAGTTGTGTGATGTATTGCTAGAATACTGTACGTAGGAACAAGGGAAGCAGCTCTGCATTCAAATGGAGCAGCAGTATGTAAACAGAGAATACACCTAGGCAGTGGCATCCATGTTACATGAAAGGCAGGGGGTGGGCAGCAAGGGTATGGCAGCTATAAATATATTCACTTTCAACTCCCTTTCTCCCACTAATTAGACAGAGCCAAGGGGATTCAAGTAAGCAGAGGTGAGTACCTGATACAAAAGTGAAGTTAGAGCCGGTCAGCGCAGTAAGAATAAAGCTTCACCAGGCATTTATACAAACAATTGTATATTTTTAATTTCAAAATGTAAAGATAACCACAATTGTATGTTTCCCTCACAACAGTAAAATCAAAAGCAGGAATATATAAAGGTAGTAGCTTTACATTTCAACATCAGCAAACCTTCAGTCAACTGTTGAATGGATGTTAGGATTAGGAGATAATGTGTAACAACAATGAACTCATAAAGCAGTAGCAGATACATGGATACTGTCCCCATCCCAGAATGACAAACACTCCACCTACAGCACAAACAGCCAAAGCAAGAGCAACACAAAGTTTCACTGCACACAGGAAAACCACAGGAGAATCCTCCCTTCCCCAATACACTCTACTAGCAAGTCAACCTTTTTCATAGTTTGTCATGCAATTACAATTAACAATCAGTAATTACTGAGTAAAGTGATGTTTAGCAATACTTTGTCCATCTAGAACTAACATCTAGAAGTGTTAAAACTCTTATTTTCTCCAAGACATCATTCTTAATGCCAAACCACATTCCTTTTCGCAATAATAATTCAAACCAAAGGCTCTGAGCATCAGGCAACTCAAGCAGCAGAAAGTTAAACAAGTCTAATGTGACTACTGATCACAAAAAATATTCTAAGATATTGCATTCATGATCAAAAATGAATACAGTTTGCTCTAATGTGTTGAGTAAGAAGACGCAGAGGCTTTCAAACAGGATGGTTTTATTCCTTTGTTTTAAATGATCTTTCTACAGTAGTGGGACAGGAAGCAGCAGCAAAGAGGGGAAGGAGAAAACAGTTTAGAATATACAGCACTTCCTTTTGGGTTGAGTTTCCGGAGGCTCGAGGGCAGCTAGGATAGCCTCATCAAACACATTCTTCAGACCTCTCTACAAGACAGAGGGGAGGAGAGAGAATAGCAGCCAGGTTAGAGGATTAGAGACCAGCAGATACAATAGCAGTCTGGGTTAAGAGCTGAATTCACAGAAGCAATGTGTTTAAGGAAAGGAGACATTAGAATGTTCGTTCTTGAGTGAGAGAGTACTGAGAGGGTAGATAACTGAACAGAAATGTCACCTCAAAAAAAGTTAACTAAGCAAGGAAAAAATAATAAAAAATGCAGTATGTAAACTTCTAAAGAATCACATACTGAAATCTAATATTACATTTTGGTATAAAATCTCAAGAAGAGAAAAATAGCTATCTAAACACAAGATAGATGTGTTGGAAAAAGGGAGATTCCCCCAACATTACTATTGATGATGATGACATACATATTTTGGAAATCAATCTATTAGAATTCCAGGCTTTTGTGAATTCAGCCCCTGAATAACTGAAGGGCACAAACAGCAACTAACAGGCATGCTACATGTCTCTAGGTTCAGTGACATATCTGGATGGATTAATCGGGATTTAGTAAGTCAGTTTCCCAGCCACTCAAAAGGATTCCCTGTGCAACAGCAGCAGCAACTGGAAGGAGTTTATAAAGAATGAACCCCAGAAACAGCATGCACTTCAGGTACTCAGCAATGTTATTAGAGCAAGGAACCACCACCCAAGTCATAAGGAAACAAAGAATGGGGTCTCAGAATGAGAGTCAGCAAGCAGTCCGATGCTTTCAGATGTCTGCATGGGTCCAGCGCATGTAGCATGGAATGAAAACAGACCGTCCTGACATCTACAGGGACTAGACTACAAATACACTTACAGCTCTGCCAGAAACTCCAAGGATACTGCGATTGGCAGCAGTGGAACTCTCGAACCCAGACAGCTCCTACCCTTGAGGCCACAGGTTTACTACCCAGAGCAGTTTCAGTGTTCTTTAGGCCAGTTTGATCTTTGGTAAAAAATGTCCCCAAAGTTCCAGAACATAGCCCCAGTGGTGTCATCCACTGGACTACCCAGGCTTCCCTCCTTATACCCTACATAACCCCAGAGGAACCATACCCACACAATCCATTTAATACAAAATAAATGAGAGCAATCAAAAAATGAGATTTGAACATTTTCTTCTTTTACCTCCTTTTTCTGGTAGAAATACTATGTAAACACTAAAGTACTTCTGCTATCTGTCCACACATCTGTATGAACGCTCACAGGCAAGTAAGAAGAAACAGTGGGAGGGAAATACTTGAAGGACATAAACAGAGGAAGAGGACTGCTAGAAAGCAGGGTATACCCCACTGAAGAAGAACTCCTAGCCAGGTGAAGTGGCTTAATCCCAGCACTCAGGAGGCAGAGAGGAGACGCTGAGCTTGGAGCCAGCCTGGGCTACACAGAGTGAAACCTGTCTCAAAAAAATTTTTTTAACAATCAAAACAGCAATCCTTTCTTGTATAATTACTTCAGGAAAAGATCAACAAATACCTTATGAAACAAGGCTAATCTTGGCTTTACTAGTACCTTGTTATATAAAACTTTTAGTTATGGAGGAGTCAACAAACAGAACCTGAAGTTTAAACTACTACACAAACCCACAACCCCGCCCCGCCCCCCCTTTCTATCTTTTACCTCTCTGACTTCTCCTAACTTCAGAATCTGGAAAGAAAAATGTTCCTCCTAAGTATCTTCCACATGCTTTCAGTTCTAAGTAACTTGATAATCTGCTCACATTGTGGAAATCTTACATGAAGTATCCAACTGTCTAAAATAAGCTTCACCCGTGACCTAAAACTGGTCCACATGGCCTACTTGCCTCTCCTTCCCCTAAGGAACCCACATCTGAGGAACAGAGAGCATGCCTCAGATACATGTTGTCCGGTTCCACACACTTCTTACCAGACACACACCCCATGTCTGCCTTCACTTCTCAAGGGATGGTACTAGAACACTATTTGGTTATTGTCTCAGTCTGTACTCTGTGAAAAGGTTAAGTTTTTATGAATTTTTCAATATTTGCTTCTACAATAAGATCAACTACTAAACTGGGCTGGGGGATGTAGAACTAAGAAATTATGCCTTCAAGTTACCCTACAGAAATCTGGTTAAGTACAAAAGCTTTACACTTAAATACAAAATCAAGCAAAAAGCTGGGAGTTTAAATTATGCATCTGGTCTTATATACACTGAATTCCTCATAAAAATCTAAGTATGCATAATTATACATATATCACTGATAAAAAACATTTGATCAAGAACCCAACAGTATTAAAAATGACCAATAGCTAAAAAAGCACAATGAATATAATTGGATTTAATAATATACTAGTAACCTCTATTTTAATTAGGTATGTAAATCAGTGAGTCCAATGCTAATTATTTCCAAATTCTTTCCTTTGTTCCTAGAACCACACTCAAAACCAGGAATGGACAATGTATGGTTAGTAACTATCAACTTAACAGAATCCAGACATACCTGGGAAATGGCCTCTGGGTATGCTTGTGGAGGATGAACTTAATTACATTAACCGATGTGGGCAGACCCTTCTTAAATGTGGGTGGAACCATTCCCTGGGCAGAGGAGTTGGGACTCAATAAGGACAAAGTGAGCTAAGCACTAACTAGCACATTCATTTGTTCTGTCTCTTGACTGGATGCATGTGAGCAGTTGCTTAAGTTCCTGTACCTTGGCTTCCGCCATGATGAACTGTACTTTACCCTGTGAGCCAGAAGAAACCTTTCTCCTGTATGTTGCTTTGGTCAAGGTATTTTGCTAGAGCAAGAAGACAAGGAACTAAGATACAATGCTCTAAAGCCTCAGAAGACTGAAATGCACACGCATGTTAAACTCTCACTCACTGCTCCCTGAACTCGTCTCTAAGAACACTTCTAGTCATATCACTAAGAAATGTCAGAAATAATACCTTTCAAAACACAGGACTGGAAATTGGAGAGATGGCTCAGTTGTCAAGAGCACTGGCTGCTCTTTCAGAGAGCCTGAGTTCAATTCCCAACACTCACATGGTAGCTCACAATTATCTGTAAATGTAGTCCCATGGGATCAGATACCCTCTTCTGGTATGCAGACATACATGCAGACAAAACAGCCATATACATAAAATAGATAAAAATAAATCATAGGGGGGGAAAAACAAACCACAGAATTGGAGATAATAGATAATAAACGATTGAGGACTATGACAAAAGTAGTCTACACAGTAGCCACACCTCCTTTGACTCAAAAGCCTCAAATATTATTATTAATTTTCTGTCCCAGTTGAATTACCCTATATCGTTTGTCAGAACTAGGAAGGAAGAAAGATTTTAGTATCTAAAGACAAACAGACAGACAAACAGACAAAAAACACACTCATCTTGACTATCCAAATCATACAAGAGTACAACATGGAAGAGAAACAATGCCAGACCTTCAAGAGACTAACAAGGCTCTCCATAAACACAGCCCTCTCACAAAACAACATACTGAAGCCAGGCATGTTCTTCTTGGACAGCTTTGAGCACTATTACTGCTGAACACCACTCTGTAAAGCCAGGCTTGGTGGTACAATTCTGTAACCCCAGGATTGAGGAGACTGCGTCAAGACTGCCACAAATTCCCCACTAGCATAGACTACATAGCAAATCACTACCTCAAGAAAAAGGGGGCTGGAGAGATGGCTCAGTGGCTAATAGAGCCTCCTACTCTTCCAGAGAAATGGGGTTACATTCCCAGCACCCACTACAGGCGGTTCACAACTTCTGAAACTCCAGTAAGTACAAGTTGTAAAGGTCTGAGGATGTGAAAGCTTAAGTTGTGAGGGTCTAAAAAAAGTGATTTAAGGTGTGTAAATGCAAGTTATAAAAGTCTGAGGAAGTGACTTAAGGTATGTGAAAAATTAGAAATGTTTCAGATTTCTTTCCCTCTCAATATACTATTTGTTATATCAAGACTTCAAAAATTTAGGGGCTGGAGAGAGAGCTCAGCAGTTAAAGAGCACTGACTGCTCTCTCAGAGGACCCAGGTTCAAGTCCCAGCACATGGCAGCTCACAACGGTCTATAACCCCAGTTCCAGAGGATCTGATATCTTTACACACAAGAGAAGCTGAAAGCTAAAAAAAAGACGCCAGGCAGTGGTGGCACACGCCTTTAATCCCAGCACTCAGGAGGCAGAGCCAGGAGGATCTCTGTGAGTTCGAGGCCAGCATGGTCTACAGAGAGAGATCCAGGACAGGCACCAAAACTACACAGAGAAACCCTGTCTTGGGAGGGTGGGAGGGAAGACTTCAAAAATTAGAAATTTTAATATTAATCAGCGGAGTTCTAATAAGCTATTGACCTAGACCTGGTAAAGCACTGGCTGCTATTATAGTCACAGGCTCAAATTTTTTAACTTCTTTTGGTTGTTTCCTAATATAGACTTAAAAGTATTTCTCACTGAGCTTAAACATCTTTGGCTTATAGACATTTGCTAACTGCTTTTTTCTACAAGGAGGACTTCAGTGGAGATTATAAATAGTTGTAATGCTAAAACTTTCATCTTTTTATAAATTTTAAAAAAATTCATGTAAGCTTCAGGGAGTCAAGACTTGGATCCACCTATCAGAGGTCAACCAGACTCCAAATAAGTATTCCTATCAATCAACAGCTTAACCTTTCCTGCCTACTGCCTATCCCTGAGTGCTGGAGATGCTGTGAATGTGTTGCTCTGATTGGTTGATAAATAAAACGCTGATTGGCCAGTAGCCAGGCAGGAAGTATAATGTAGGCGGGATAAGGAGAGAGGAGAATTCTGAGAGATGGAAGGCTGAGTCAGGAGACGCTGCCAGCCACCACTGCCATGAGAAGCAAGATGTAAGGTACCAGTAAGCCACAAGCCGTGTGGCAATGTATAGATTAATAGAAATGGGTCATTTTAAGATATAAGAACTAGATAGCAAGAAGCCTGAGCCATTAGGCCAAACAGTTTAAATAATATGAGTGTCTGTGTGTTTATTTGGGTCTGAGTGGCTGAGGGCCTGAGACTGAGCAGGACTGGAGAGAACTCCAGCTACACCTGAAGATGGGCTCTCTCCTTCTGGTCTTGCGACTCCTTCCACCACCACCCCTTGCCCCCAACTACCAGGACCATAGGCCTGGAAGTTTCAAGTCTATACCCAAGATAAAGATTCTCCCCTAAGCTCCATATCTCTACCTTCTGTTCCTAGCCTCTATCTGTCCCCGCAGATTTCCAAACAACTACAGAATGCAAAGTGCTCCAAACATGCCAGCCTCGGGCGGTCCTTCAGAACCAGCAAAGCCTGGACTTGCTGAAAGCTGATGTAAACTAAACACTGCTGACAGAATTTCTGATAGGCTCAAGCTTTGGACTAGCATTCCAGCTTCAAAGCAGTCTAGCCTCCCCTACTCCCCCAGCCTTAAACCAACATTCCAGCCTTCTTGGTCTCCGACAACAATGTCCTAATTTCAGCTAAGACGCAGTTACAGAAGAGATTACATTGCCTCTTATCACAAACAAAAGGCTGGAACATAAGGTTCAAATTCTGACAGTTCCCCTCTACCAAAGAAGTCAATTCCTTATCAAAGGCAGAAGGGACAAGCAGCTATCTATGGTGCTCCTTAGCATATCAAAGCACATGCCCATCTACATGTTCCCTCACTATCACAAGTACCTGTTACACATTTCAGAGTCTATGCTAGCATCCTGGCTCTTCTCACCCCACTGCTTACCCTAAACTTCTCCAACTAGAAGCTTCCCTCCCCATAGCTTCAACTGCTCTTTCCACTATGTCCTCTCTTGACCCCCTGTCTTGGTCATCTTTCTCTTTCTCTCTCACTCTACCCATCTCTCTCTTCTCATGACCAAGTCTAATCTGCTGGCCATGTTCAGCCTACAGCTTTCTCTCTCTGCTCTGGATGCATCCAGATGCCTCTGGCTACACTCTCCCTCATATCTACAATAAAAACCTTCCTCTCAGTCATGCCTTGCATGGTCATGTTGTCAGTTTACACACACTACAGAACTGAACTCACAGTATACATTCACAGACGTAAGTAATTGTTTCTTAATTTTTAAGGGAAAAAGAAAGAAAAAAAGGAAAAGAGCCACTGCTATCCTAATACTCAAAAAATAAAATAATAATAATAATAATAATAATAATAATAATAATAATAAAACAACTACAGGGAGATATGGGTTCCAGAGCCCTTACCTGTGTGAGGGCGGAGCACTCCACATACTTGACCGCCTTCAGATCCCGGGCCAGCTTTTCGGCAGTCTCTGGAGTGATAGGCTTCTGTTTGTTCTTGGCAAGTTTCTCAATAGTAGAGGGGTCATCTCTGAGATCAATTTGGGTCCCAACAAGCAAGAAAGGAGTCTTTGGACAGTGGTGAGTTATCTCAGGCACCCACTAAAAGGAAGATTTCAAAATGCTTTTGTCAATCCGCAAGCCTCTTAAACTGTAACAGGACAACAGAAAGAACATCTGTACAGGGGAAAGAGTCTAACTCACCTTTTCTTTCACATTTTCAAATGAGGATGGAGAAACCACTGAAAAACATACTAGAAAAACATCTGTTTGTGGGTAACTCAGTGGTCGTAGTCTGTCATAATCCTCCTGCCCTAAAGAAAAAGTTAGGAGAAGTCAGCAATTGAAATCTGATAGCCACGTGGCATTAAAATCACAGGTCTAAGAAAAGGAAATTCGCAGGTCAAGCGCTAAGGCAATAGCTCTTTAGTAGGTATTGAATACCTAGCATGCACAGAGCCCTGGGTTCAACCCTATACCACATTAAAACCAGGCATGGTTGACACAAAACTATAATCTCAGCACTAGGGAGACAGAAGCAGGAAGGTTGAGTGTGTGCCAGTGTGAGCAACATGAGACCATGAGACCAGGTACCACCACCCCCACAAAAAAAGTCAAAGATGGATAGGGCAGAGCTAGCAAGATCACTCAGTGGGTAAAGGTAGTGTCATGAGTTAGGCTACCATGCCTAACAACCTGAGTTCCATCCCCAGCAAACAGATAGTAAAAGGAAAGAACCAACTACCCTAAGTTTACCCCCTCTTGACCTTCAAACACATATGCTATGGCATGTACTTCCACATAAGGAAAAAATTTTTTAAATATTTAAAAGGAAAAGAAATGGATAGTGGAACACACACCCATAAACTCAGCACTCAGGAGGCAGAGGCAGGAGACTCACAAGTTTGAGACCAGCCTGGTCTACAAAGCAAGATCCAAACCAGTCAAAATGACATAGCAAAACTCTTATTTCAAAAAACAAAGAGGGGGAGGGGGGAATCACAGCTCTGTCAATACTTCAAGTGTACATATAGTTCACAGCATACTGGCCATTAGCAACAAAACAAGTTACCTACTCAAAGGTGTGGCTTAGTATTATATGCTGTTTGGACAATACTCCTGAGGTAATTCTATTTACATGTGTCAATAACTTAAACGGCAAGGAAACTGGAGTATTATTTGCTTTTATTTCCAGTTTTTAGTTCTTTATTAGTAACTCAAAAAAATGTAGTAACAATAAACTACTGCTACAGGTGTGATTCAAAAGGAAATTCAAATCTACTTCTGGTTATGTAACAATCACAGTGAAACCACCTAACAAAATACTAATCTCAGTAAAGCTCTTAGTGAAGAAAACCACTATCCATAATAACAATCAAACTAAGCCAAATACTTGCCACATGCATGTTAAAGCCCATATCTGAAACTGGAAAGGCCTAAGAAAAACGAACTTGGCAAGAATCAATAGATATGTAAAAAAAAAAAAAAAAGAATAAAATACTTAGGAATTAACCAGGAAAATGAAAAGGGCAAAAAGTAAAGAAGCCCTAAGAAATGGAAAGACATCCTATACTCATATGCTAGATGATCAAATATTAAGATACCATCAATTCTACCCTACATATCCAATGCTAGAAGACCCTATTTTTTTTTATTTCAAAGTTTAATAAATGGGGCTGGAGAGGGGCTCAGCAGTAAAGAGCACTTGTTGC